GCCTACAGTTACCACCCTGTTAATCCCTTCTGTGAATAATACACTGATTATGTTAAGATTCTCAGAACCCAGTCATTTCACTTCTAAACTTTCTTGCATTATCTCACGCATGAGCTTTTGGAGACACCTTCTATCTAAACCATAACTGGGTCTTTTATGGTTCCCTATGAATTTTAGAATTTTTTCCCAATTCTGCATAGAATGAAAATAGAATTTTGATAAACCTGTTTTTCATCTTTCCTTTTCCTTTTTCATTTTTGTGGTGCTGGGATTAAACCCATGACCTCAAGCATGCCAGGCAAGTGCTCTGCCACTGAGCTACACTCCCAGCCTGATGACCCTAAGTTTCTGGTGGAGCCTTCTGTCCTTGGGTTTTCCCTTCATCCCCACTGCTCCGAGCCATCACTAGCAGGAATCTTGGTGCTGACATTGGCCTTTAGCACAGTGCAGAGCTTACCTTGACCTCCCTGCTCTTCTCAGCCCTGCATCCTCTTTCTCCCTATAGTGTAGGCATCTCCTTCTTGATGGACCTTTGCCTGCTTTCATCTAAACCCTCACCCTTTCAAGGCCTCCATACTCCACCCTACTCTCTTTCCCTGGTGCCTCTGCATCTCTCCACTGTGGGACCTTTTCCTGCACACACCACCTGCCTAGCTACCCTGAGCCCTCACCAACTTCCATCTGTCACAAGCCCCCTCTGGTGGGAACTTTGCAATCACTACAGCCACTCTCATCTGCCTTCATCCAGAACAACACCCCTGTCCTCATCCTAACCCAGGTTTTTCCAGGGTCACCTGTATGCCATGTTCACCCTTCATACGCCAGGTCATTCCTTGCCCAGGTCACTAATCTCTTTGCACTTCCATCTCCCTCCCCATCATACCAGAAGAAGGCTCTTGGTCCACCTACTTCTTGACCTTCCCCTTTCTTTTTGGTTCCTTTACCTCAGAGGACTTTGACTCCCTTCACCATGCATCCAAAATCAGTGTTTTGCTACTCGGTTGCTCCTGCTGTTCCTAACTCTTTCTCTCCCAGCACCAGCTTCCTTCTGGAATGTTTTTTGTTTGATCTCTCATTTTTTGTGGTGGGCATTGATCCCATGACCTCAACCATGCACTCCTCCACTGAGAAACCCCCCAAACCCCTGTAATTGTTTTCTAACCTGGTGCTTTTTTGGGGTGTGACCAGCTGACACCACTCTCTCCCACTCGGAAGGACCCCCAAGTTGTGCAACTTGTCCACCTGCCTTGATTTTCTCTTCTCAGGCCTACACTTCCTTCTTCTTCCTGTTTCTACATTAATCTGTAGTATACTTCCCTGATTTCTGTTTGGTGTTTTATTGTGGTAAAATAGACATAATGTACAGTTTCCTATTTTAACCATTTTAAGTGTACAATTAAGTGCCATTCAGTGTATTTACATTTTTGTAGAAACTGAAACTCTGTACCCATTAAACACTAAGCATCCATCCTCCCCACCCCAGTCCCTGTCATCTCTCTGCCATCATTCTACATTCTGTCTCTATGAATTTGACTCCCTAGATGCCTCATACAAGTGCAATCATACAGAATTTGTCCTTTCATGACTGGCTTTTCCACTTAGCTAATGTCCTCAAGATCATCCATGGTGTAGCAATTTTCAGAATGTCCTTCCTTTTTAATGCTGAATAATGTTCATTTTGCATATAAGCCATATTGTGATTAGATGTTTGTTCATCAGTTGATAAATACTGGTGTTACTTTTACCTTTTGGCTTTTGGGAACAATGCTACTATGAAAGTCATGTACACATACCTCTGCATTTCCCTGTCTTCACAACTTTTGTGTTTATGTCCAGAAATACAATTACTACATTATATAGAAAGTATCTTTTCCATATTTGGAGGAACCACCATACCATTTTCATAGCAGCTGCTCCATTGTATATATAGGCAAGCAATGCACCATGCTGCAGTTTTCTCCGTAGTTATGAACTTGTTCATTCTGCATTCTTTTTTCTAAACAGTAGTCACCCTCATGGGTACAAAGTAGAATGTCACTGTGCTTTCAATTTTATTTCCCTACTGACAGCTGATGTTTGAGTATCTCTTTGTGTGCTTATTGTCTATTTGGGTATCTACCAGACAACTGTCTGTAGTGATATTTTGCCCAATCCTGAATAGATTCAACATTTTTCTTATTTTTGAGTTTTTGAGATTCTTTTATGTTTGCTTGTTTTATGGAGCTGGGGTCAATCTTAGGCCCTTGTACATGCTAGGCAGGTGTTCTACAGCTGAGCTAACCCCAGCCAAAGATATATTGATATATTTGAATGTTCATCTCTTATTAGATATACGACTTGCAAATTTTTTCTCCCATTTCACATGTCCAGGTTGGCTTTTAACTTCCACTCATCTACTTCAATTTCCTGAGTATCTGCGATTAGAGGCGCATATCACAATATGTACCAGTCAGTGTGTTTTCTTCTAAGAATGTTTGGTTTTATAGTCTGCATTTTTTTTTCATTTTGAGTTTGTGTGTGTGTGTGTGTGTGTGTGTGTGTGTGTGAGCTCACTCACATTTGCAGAAGCTAGGCAAGCACTCTATCATTGAGCTATATCCCCAGTCCTGAGTTAATTTCTATATATGAGTAAGTAAAGGATCCAACTTCATTGTTTGTGAAAATCCAAATTTTCTAGCACATCTATTGGAAAGATACATTGTGTTTGTGGGGGGCTATGGAAGAATAGATTTACTTTGGATTAGATAGAAAGAAGTGAAAGGAGGGGAGACAGTATAGGTAAGAATGATAGTAGAATGAATCGGAGATTATTATTCATATGCATATATGATTGCATGACTAGTATAACTATACATCATATGCAATCAAAACAATGAGAAGCTATATATACTCCATCTACATATCATGGGTCAAAATGGATTCTACTGTCACATATAACTAATTAGAACAAATAAAATAAATAAATAAATACATAAAGAAAAAAGAAAAGCTACATCAGCTCTTTKGAAACACTGCTACCTGCTTTTTCCCAGGGGATGCTACTAGGACAATTTAAGTCCCCCACCTGAGGCTTCCAGATGCTGATCATTTACTTTGGACCAAGCCCACTGCTTCACTTCCCTTTAGGGTAAAAGCCCACTCAACACTTTGGGGCCACAGCCCTCACACCCACTTTGACCTCCTGTCTTCCCTACCTTATCCATGAGAAGTCTGCACATAGACAGTACACACACACCCTCTGGGGACCTGCCTTGCCTGGGTTCCACTTCAGTGACCATAGTTCCACCCACCCTCTTCCCTTCCTATGCCCTCCCTGCCCTCTAACAAGCCCTGCCATGCACCTCTGCCCCTCCCACCTCCCTTGCCTCTGCAGGTCAACCTCTCCCTTGAACACCCACCTGTACCCTTAAGAACCCATGCCTATGTCTTGGGCCTTGGCCAAATTGCCTGCCCCGCTCCCCTTTCTCCATTCCTCACTTCCCCTCTCCTTCTTCTCTAGTTCCCTGTCTTCACTGTATTAGAAACCTTTCTTCTGTCCCTTTGTCTCCTCAGGTGCTCAGGACAGCAGAGCCTTTGTGGTGAGCATTGATGAGCACTTGTTCACAGGTAGAAGGGTCATCAGCTGTTTCCTCTTCCACAGGGACCCACAGTCTTCACTATAACCTCACAGTGAGGTCCCGAGGTGGATCAGTGCAATCAAGGTTCTTTGCCAATGGTTATTGGGACCGTCAGCTCTTCCTTCACTTTGATAGTGACAAAAAAGAAAGTGCAAAGCCCCAGGGGCCATGGGCAGAAAAACCTTTGGGAACTGAGAGCTGGGACACAGAGATCCAGGAGTTGGCAGAGCACAGCAAGAATCTAAAAGCAACCCTGGCAGATATCAATGCCTGGCAGGAGCAGAAAGGAGGTGAGTGTGGGCAGGGGCAAGTGTGATGTGAGGCTTTCTCCAGGACCTGTGTCTTCTCATTGCAATTGACTGGGGAGGGCAAGAAATGGGCTTTATACAGACCTGCACAGGGGACTTGGAGGAGAGCCAGGTTGGGGTCCCCTGTGGGCTAGTATTTTTCACTTGGTGGGCAGGGAGGTGGAGGGCCCAAGGGATGGAGAAGTGACTGGTGGGTGGGGGCAGGGTCTCATTTCCTCCAGGAGACTTGGGGCTGCAAGATTCACAAGGACAACTGCACCAGGGCCTTCTGGAATTTCTACTACGATGGGGAGCCCTTCCTGTCCTATCATCCAGAGACACGCAGCTGGACAGTGGAGCCATCCTCAGCTCAGAACTTGGCTATGGAAGTCAAGAATTCCTGGGATGCAGATGGCATACAAAGCAAGGATTACTGGGCCCAAGTGCAGGGAGAGCTTTGTGGAAGACTCAGGAGATATCTAGTCTTCTGGAAGGGCTCCTCCTACTCCCCTGGAGCCTCTGCCCAGAGGACCTTGTGTGAGTTTATCGTGTTGTGATTTGCCTGTCCTATCACACCGCTAGATACAGACAGGAGGGTGTATGTGCCCAGACACTAGTGAGCCCTCACCTCCCTGCCTGCCTGCTATCATAGAGAGCTCCCACCTGGCCCCACAATTCTAGAACCCCCAAATACCCGTCATCACCTCACAAACCAGAATTCCTATAACACCCCCTATTTAACATAACACGTTGAAGTGAGAATGTGAGGCCACAAGCCCAGTGACCATCCTCCTGCCAGTCAGAGGACTCAGGCTCCAGGTTGAAAACAGATTTTTGGACCTCAGTTCAATGAGGTCTTAGGCCAGAGTCAGAAGAGTGGAGAAGGGGAATGAGGCTTGGTCACATGCCTGACTATTTTTGCCTTTATTTCCTTCCAGTGTTTCCAGCAGTGAATGTGACCTGTGCTGAGGCCCTGGAGGACACCATCAATGTGACATGTTGGGCTTTTGGCTTCTATCCCCAGAATATCTCTGTGACCTGGCTTCAGGATGGGGAACCCCTGAGCCAGGGCACCCAGCAGTCTGGTGGTATCTTTTCCTATGAGAATGGGACCTACCAGACCTGGGTGTCTACCAGGATTCCCCAAGGACTGGAGCAGGGGTTCAGCTGCCATGTGGGACACAGTGGGAACAACAGCACTGGCCTTGTGTCCTGTGGTGAGCCTGGGGGTCCCAGCAGGGTTTCCCAGCCAGGTGACTCAGTGACCAGGGTGGTGAGAGGGGAGAAGCCTTGAGGCTCAGTACCCAGAGTGTAACAATCCTTTCAGGGACTGCACTGCAGCTTCCGAGCCAATGGGCTGCCTTCCTGGGTGTGGCTGCTGCTGCTGTTGCTGTGATTATGATTATTGTTTGTGTCTGCTCCTGCAAGAAAAGGAAGACAAAATCTACTGCAGAAGGTTCAGGTGAGAAAAGCGTTCAGTGGCTGGGGATTTCAAGGCCTATTTGGAATGTAGGGTCTCTTGTGCCTCCCGCTACACAGTGGAGGTGACCAGCTTTCTGGAACAGAGGATGGAGTTCTGTCTCCAGCCACACCCCTTAGTCTTGCCAAAAGTCAGGGCTGTCACCATTTCTGAAGGTCCAGCTGCAGCCTCTGTGGCTGCAGGGTGAGGAGTGAGCAGCAGTGGGGCCATGGCTTCTGCTGTCCTCATCTGTCTCTCAGGCTTTCCTGGCTTGTCCAGGGGGCTATGTTGGGAATGGAGGGCTGATTGGTGTTGGCTAGATTATCTTGTCCTCAGGGGGACAGATAATAAATGAGTTGTGACCCTAGGGTACTTAGAAACTGGAGAGGAATTTCATGAATTGTGATGCCACTGGTCCCTCCCTTCACTCTCCCCCAGTCTCTCCAGCTGTCAGGAGCAAACCAGGAAAAAGATCCATAGGGCCAGAGCCCTGTCAATGCAGCCCCTGGGAGGCCTATGTAGAGCAGGCCCTGCTAGGATCCTCTGGGTCAGTTGGGCATGCCAGTCACCATCCTATCCCCAGTATACATTTCTTCCTCCTGGAGTGGCCTTGCAGATGACATGGACAGGAGAATGGCTTATGTCCTTGGTCATCTGGGGAGAGAGACCAACCCATTACAGGGCATCTGTGGTCACTGTTTTTCTCTTATGTCTGGAATTTTCCAGTGTAGCCCCTAGGAGTGTTGGTCCCCACAGGCTAGGGCACATAGCCCCATAGCAGGGGCCCATTCAGGTGACTCTACAAGTAGGGTAGGCAGCTCTGTGGTCTCTGCTGCTCCCATCTATGGCCTTCCAAGAGGGGGAACAAAGGCAATGCTAGTTCTACTTTCTTGTGGTCAGAAATGGTTGCCTGGAATGTCACTAGGGCAGTGCCCAGGAAAAGAGTGGGAAAGGCCTGTTGCTTATTTTTGAAAATTTCTACTTTGAATGTTGAATCTCAGTAAGGATGTTCCCAGTTTCAACTGTATCATGTGAATAAGCAGTTCTCCAGCACTCATGTACTAATGTGAACTAAATGTCACCCTTGGAGATCCCTCTATAGGAGTGCCCGCTGTGGGAGACCTGGATTGTGACCATGACAATGCAATGGAACAGATGATAGATGGGCCTAGAGTTCACACTGCAGAATCTCAGGAAAACCCTAGTTTTCTTTGGAAAGAAGACCTCTGAGGACTATGAGGATTGTCGCCTACAGAAGTCCCTGCTAGGTATGGAGGTAGGGAGTCCAGGGCAACCTCAGGAAAAAGAAGCCCTTGGGGAAGAGCTGGGTTCCCAGCAGTAGGTAAACCACGCAGGTAGGGGAAGCAAAAATGCAGATTGAGAGCCTGGGCAGGTGCAGAGGGTCAGTGATTCTGAGTATCCTCTGCATGGGCTTTTACAGGTCAGGGGAACAGCAGATCATGTGGCAGGCATGCTTTTCCAGGCTAGGCCTGCTGGTGCACCTGGCTTCCTGGTGGACTGTCCAGTTGGGAGCTGCTGGCTCAGGGCTGGGAGGGAGGGATGCTGAGCTGCAAGTGGGGCAGGCCTTGCTGGGTGAGCACCTGCCTCTCGGGGAAAGCCTGGGAACTAAATGGGAATAAGGGCTCTGTGTGAGTCCTGTGCCCATTGTGGCAAGAGCAGGAGATGCCTTCTCTTGGAGGCCCCCACTCTGTAGGGAATGATTTATCTCTGGAGGAGGTAATCACTTCCAGATCTTGATCCTGAATCCTGCAGCCCTTTTACTCCCTTCTGTGGTGGAAACAGAGACAGGTGACACTGCTAATAGACACAGAGGAGCCTGATAGGGGCATGAAAATGGGATGAGAGGGGAAAAAATGTCAGGGCATTTACTTCCCTCAGAGAAGGGCCAAATCTGATTTTTGAGGAACTGAGGAGAGGAAAATCCCAAGGGAGTAAACAGCAATATTCTGCAACAAATTGAACACTGACTGGTTCCTCTTTTTCCCTAGAGCCCCTGAGCCTATATAACCTGGATCAGCAGCAGAGGACACCAAGTGACTACACTGGATCCACACTGCTGGGGTGTCAACCTTTGCTGAGAGCTCCTGGGGCTACGGGGGGAGCTTACACTTGGTAGCCCTACTGTGACAAGCACTTTTTGTCTTGGTGCTTTGGTTTCCTCATCTCTACAATGTGGAAACATATGTTTGCTAACAAATGCACCTGTTCTGTACTAGTATCTTTATTATTTTACTGTATTTTAGCACATTATATATTGTGGGAGACCAACCTCGCCCATGACTTGAAACACTCCCCGGCTGGGTGCTGAGGTGTCCAAGTAGCAGAAATGCAGCAGGATTTCCCTACCTTTATTGGGTTCCAGGATGGAGTCCATATAGAGGCATGTCTCACCACTACCTCAAGGACCCAATCACCTCATCTGACCTTGCAAAAACACTGCCCTCCTTGACTTTCATTGGACGGGATTTTCCCCAGAGTTTTTAGTTCCCCAATAAAATCCCACTCCCTAGCTTGTGTTCTACGCCCCCCTCCCGCCCCCACTCTTGCCTCTCCAGTAAAACCTCACTTCCCCCCTGTAAACCCTCACTTCCCCCCCTGGGGAGCTTGAGGCTCAGAGCTCCAGGAGCCATCCCAGACCTGGTTTAAAGGTAAAATTGTGTGTCTGTATCTTTATTTCAAACTCCCAGAGAATTTCCCTGTGTGATTGAACCATTCACCATCTGCGCTGGCCGTGGACTAAAATATATAAGTATGGTGATGGTGTTTTAATAAATGAGATTATTTGTAAGTATCCTTATTCTGCCTCCTCCCAAGAAACCTAAAATACAGGCTCTTCTTCATTGTTGAGGGAACTTTAAACCCTCTCTGACTGTTTGTCTTACCTCTTGTCTGTATCATTTTACATTATGAATGTTTAAACACTTTTAAATATGAAACATATCCGGTCTGTGTTCATGTTCTGGGAAGGGACCGTGTGACAGGGTCAGCAAAAATAACATGTTTGACTCCATGTTTGACAGAGAGTTAAACATATGTTTAACATAGACCGTGTTGAGAGCCAGAGTCTGTGGCATTTTTAAAAATATTTTTAATTGATTTTATTTTTAAAATACACGACAGCAGAATGCAGTATAATTCTTATTACACATTCAGAGCACCATTTTTTATATCTAGAGTCTGTGGCATTTTGCAGATGATGTTGAATGAATGTGCTGGCTTCAAATTCTGAGGAATTTAGCAGTGTCTTCAGAATAGCTGAGGTGTTGGTGCCAGTCCTTTGCCAGACATCTGCTCTATAGCCTGGGAGAGATGAGCATCCAGGAGGAATTCCCATGGGGCATCCTGAACAGGCACAACTTCCTCTTCTCAGAGATTGCTTAGCAAGGGCACCAACACCCCAGCTGTTATTTGCAAAAATAAGCAACAGGCCTTTCCCACTCAAAGGCACAAAAATTCAACTACAGCCTCCTCTTTTATAGCCTAATGTAAATGGCATGTACAAATCCAGATCTCTCTTGTGTAGTTTACATTGTACAGTGATGTGGCTGGTAAACCCTGCTGTGATAAGATTACTTCCTCCTGTTTTTAGCAAGATTGTCATTTGGGTGTTGTAGCTTCAATATGCAAGGACTTCTCCAGAATGTCAGAGACACCCACTGCCCACACAGTCTTCATGCCCTTTGGTAACATAGGCCACTGCTGCTGCCCCTGGATCCTTGGCACAAGCCCGCCTCACACTGCCACTCACTATTCCAACTTCCAGATGCTTACTGTGCATGTGTTTTTCAATTTAATATTCAAATATGTTCCCTTTACTCCCATGTTTGTCAATCAGGATCATAGTCACATGCTAATGTACAATTTTAAAGTCATCATTTATTTATATGTATTTTAATTATGGCATATAGAGATGCTATTGAATGTTTTGTTTTCATTACATCCAAGTTACACTTGATTAAATGACCATTATTGGTGTTTATGGTTTTTTTCCTTGATTTTTGATGCTAACATATAAAATTGTTCTCTGTTCATTGTTTTCCCACAATGGCCAATTAATTTGGACCATTCCTCCCATGGAATACAACTGGAAAACTGAAGGGAAAAGCACATACTTTAAAAATATGCTAAAGGGCAGACAGGTGGAGAAATCACTAAAGGTTTACTAGGCCTGGAACAAGAGGCATAAATCCAGAATAAGAAGTTAAGTACACTGTGCTTTTGTCCTGGGTGTGTCTGCTGGCTGAGACAGTGCCTGGGAGCCTCTCAGGGCTTGAGGGTAGAGCTGCAAAGGCATCTATGGGACACTAGGGATCCCTTGTGTTAATATGGGCCCCAAAGGCTGTCCCTTTAGAATCAGCCAGTTCTCCTGTGGGTTACAGCTCTACTTTAACATACATGATCCAAAACTCTGAATACCAAAATGTGCATTAAGGTGCTTTTTTTGGCCACTCTTATTGAGCATTATAATTGAAGACCTCGTCAATGTAGTCAAATAAATAAAGAAAGAAAATAAATAAATATAGAAGGGTTTGAAGAGAGAGACAGAATTCTCATAACTTGCAAATTATAATATGTTGAATTCATAAAGTCCCAAATCATTACAAATCTTTGAAATTAATAAGTTTTAGGCTGGGACTATGGCTCAGTGGTAGCGCACCTGCCTGGCATGTGTAAGGCACTGGGTTTGATTCTCAGCACCACATATAAATAAATAAAATAAAGATCCATCAACAATTAATAAAAAATTTTTAAAAAAGAATAGTTTCCTGTGGTTGCTAGATAAATATGTTTATTTCAGTGTTTTATATTTTAGAAGCAAACAATGTGAATTTAACAAAAAATTGTTGACATAGTAAAAATACACTTTTATACACTTTTAGAATGAAACCTACAAATTTTCCACCATATGGCAAATGGAACATTTTATCAACTTTATTCAGTAGAGAAGACAATTAACTGGAGAGAATTGCCAAGAATCTGGCTTGTGGTTCAATATCACAATGGCATTAATTTTTGAAAATGTTCCAAGAATTCTAATAAATCTCAAGCAACTAGCCACTAGGCATTTTGAAACACTAGGTTAGCTGATTCTAAGCCTTATATGAATATTAGCCAAGGCAGTTTAATCAAGAAGAATACGGGACTGTATTCTCTTAGTAGATACCAAGACTTACATTGTAGTCATCATAAGCAGAGATATGGTGTTGATACAGAGATAGACAAATAGATCTTAGAGTAGAAAGACACAAACCACACATGTAGACATTATGCATGTGTGACTGTGTGTATAATACAGATAGAGGAAACATCCATACATACAAACTGGCATTATATGTAACATACATTGTTGATATATAACACTGTTAACATTAAGAGATTGATAAGAAAAACAAATTTTGAAGGAATGATTTCAGGGCAATTGGTTACCCATGTGTAAAAAATGGAATTGTATTCATCTCTTCCAAAATATTAATGTGGCAGACTACCTTCACTACCTTAGCAAAGGGAAATGTTTTTTCATTCAAGTGACAATAAAGCATTTACCCTAAAGAAAATGGGATAAAATTAAAGGTGTTAAGTTTGAGACTCCAGAACACCTGGACATTATTCATTCTTTTTTTTTTTTTTAAGAGAGAGTGAGAGAGGAGAGAGAGAGAGAGAGAGAGAGAGAGAGAGAGAGAGAGAGAGAGAATTTTTTTTAAATATTTATTATTTTTTAGTTCTCGGCGGACACAACATCTTTGTTCGTATGTGGTGCTGAGGATCGAACCCGGGCCGCACGCATGCCAGGCGAGCGCGCTACTGCTTGAGCCACATCCCCAGCCCACATTATTCATTCTTTAGTGAACAATTGTAATGACTAAATGTCCTTCAGCAAAATCTGTGTAAGAAGAATATTCTCTGAAATGCATTACAGGGATATTTCTTGAAGGCAGCGGACTTCCACTCAAAGGATGGCATCTGACACATAAATTGGCTTTGGATGGAACTAGGTAAAAGTTCAGAAGACGTGGGACTCAAGGTTGGTTACTACCCAGAACACCTAAAAGCATTCTTATACCTACCTGTATTAAGTGGCACATCAACACCTTGGTGAGGAAAGCATCCTCCCAGCACTCTGAGGAGATATGGTGAGAAGAGAATTGGACAGGAGTTACATAATCTTTGCCTCTCATATTCCCATCTCTGAGCTGCTGTGGACACCTTCCTCTAGGATTTATCTGAGTTATATATCTGCGATACATCTTCAAATGGAACATTTTATCAACCTTATTCAGTAGAGAAGACAATTAATTAACTGAAGAGAATTGCCTTTCACATTCCCATGGTGGTTTTCTCAAAATTCTATACACAGCAGACTAGGATATTTCCTGGCTCTAGAGTTTGCTTCAATTCCTGGCTGGTTTTGATTCACATCTAATACTGAAACCCTCTGCTCTGAGCCACTGCTTCTTCTCTCAGCTGCTCATTGAAATCCCCTGGCGAGTGTCACAAACATGATTGGTACCTGAATTGCTCTTTTGGTGAATCAGATTGAAGGGTTTAATGTGTGATCCTGGCCTTGGGCTATTTGAAGCTATCCCAGGTGACTTAAAGTGAGGATAGGTTTGAGAATTGTATGTTATCTGACTATTTTCATATGTTATTCTGGGAAAAGAAAACCAGATTGAGGTTGTTATCAACAGTTGGACGAGAGTGATAAACAGGTTTCAAGAGAAAATTTCAGTATGAAGGACTTAACACAGTTCTAGGGTGTTATGGTTTGGATATTAAATATCCTCCAAAAGCTCATATGTTAAAGGCTTGATCACCAACTGACAGCACTTCGGGGAGGTGGTGGAAATTCTAGGATATAGGACCTAGTTGAAGAATGTAGTTAAGTGCATGGGGGGGGGTGTACCATTGAAGGGTTGATATTGTCCCCAGCACCTGTTGCATGTTCTCTCTTCTCTCTCTCTCTCTTCTTCTGTCTCCCCTGTCCCTTTCTGTAAAGTGAGCAGTTTTCCCTATAACATGCTCCCTACCATGATGTTCTGCCTCATTGCAAGCCCACAGGGATGGAGTCAAGCATCCATGGTCTGAAACTTCTAAAACTATGAGTAAAAACAAATCTTT